CCCACACCCACACCCACACCCACACCCACACCCACCCCCACCCCCACCCCCACCCACCCACCCACCCACCCACCCACACCCACCCATCCCCTAAACTTCAAGACTGAATCCTCAGCTAGAAGCCTCAGACCTTCAGCCCTGTTGGTTTTTGTTTAAGGTACAATGTCCATGGCCAGAAGTCCAAATCGGATGATCGGGCCAGGGCTGAGGACCAGGCCCGCGGATCTCTGGGAGTTTTCTGGTTTCGGGTTGAAGAGGCTGTAGGGTTTAGGTTTGAAAGGGATTGGGATTTTAGGCTCTTGGGCTTTCCAGTCTGAGAGATCGTGAGTATACATACAGTATACCTTTGCTTCGTGAGGTACTGTCTCTAAACTCTTGGATGGAGCATCTCAGGACCCGGAGGGCAAACGTCAGCTCCAGCCAAAGCGCAAGGGCAAATTTGGGAACGACATCCACGAGGCAAGCTCACCTGCTACCACAACGCTCATCATGGCAGTACTAACTGTTTACCTTGAAAGCTAGGGTGCTGTGGTCATACTATTGGTCTTCACTCGTCGTGCGCATCTGGGCATTGGTCACGAACAAATGGCCGATCGTTTCACTGAGGTGCTGCACAGCCCTTCCGCCGAACTCGACCTACTCATGTTCGGTGTTGTTCATTGATGTTCCTCAATGCAAGTTGCACAGCATATCATAGCATTATCACTGTCTTTTCTTTGACGGGTTATTGCCTGGTTTCTGACGGGTGATAAACATGCACCGCTGTCTGCCTATCTGCCTTGTAAATAAGCTCACTTGTGATGTGTTGTTGCATGTTTGCTGTATTGGTGCGTCATGTAATCACGCTTAGTTGTTGCTGTGGGCTTTGACATCGTTTTGCGCACCTCATGCTACCTGCGAGGTGCACTGCGGAACGAACCACACGGTGTTTCTGAAGAAGAACCAATCCTCCGATGCCTTCGGGTACGTTTCTTGCTGAAAGCTCGATGGACGACTTGTGTTGGTTGTGCCAGATTACCCTTGGCTTGAATGCTGCCAGTGGACTTCGGTGATCTTCAGTTCGGGCAGGATGTGTTCAATGTTCTTTGTTCGGAGACTTTGCGCCTCCTACCGGATGAGGGAGACATGTTCAATGTTTGCGGCTCTGCGAAACCATCAGGCTTTTGCGAATCAGTCTGTGCGGAACCCTAGACACGGAACGAATGCGGTGCACCCTGCAAGAGTCACCCCTGAGGCTAGTAGACCTCGCCAAGTGTTTCAGCTAGATGTCTTGGACGTCTTAGCTTTGGCAACATAAGGAAGTCTACACGACGGGCCTCGGAAATCAGGGACGTCTCGGCGTAGGGCCGGGCAGCCTGTCAGGCCCAGATGCCCAGCATAGTTGCCGCAGTGCTTCTGTTCCGACTACTGCCCCGACTGGAGCAAAGTGTTTCAGCTGGTCTTGCCAACCTGTGCACTGTACCTTACTGCATGAACCGTGACAGCACTCCATCAGGTGGCAGAGAGGAGGATGATCAAGAGATGGTGGAGCTGGACATATGGCACCCCGCAGATCAACGGTTAATGCTGGTCTTTGTTGTTGTCGGAGCTTCCAAGTGTGTTCTGATTGGTTTCGGCGCTTGGGGATGCATGGGTTGCACGCAAATGAGTCATTTTGGCAACAACTGGTTCTGATTACACCACGCCTGCATGCTCTTTTTCGTGGACAGTAGAACATTGGCACCTTGTTCATGACATGCCTCTAACTGTGCTCATGCACGGTCATCATAGGGATCCCTGTTCATCAGGAGCCGTTTTGCCAGATACGGTCCCTTGTTTCGGCTTGCTTCCACCGACTTTAAGGTGGTCGCGCAGCGGGCCCATTAAGACAATGTTCCCGTGGACCTCCGGGACGCGCGCGCTGCACGTCGCTTGTGGGGCAGACCACACGCTGTGTCTGGCCACAGCCCCTCGAAGCAAGGTGTTCCCCTTGCCTGTTCGTGAGTTCGGTCGCTGCTGGTGGCCCAGTAGCAGCAGGAAGTGCTGGGGCGTAGATAGTGGTGAGGCCTCATCCGAGGATGAGTTGTTTGTTTTGGGAAGATACCCTGGAGACCGGGGCTGCCTGCCTTGTTGGGAAGTATGCTGTGCTCCGGTGTCTGGCTCGAACTCCACATTCACATCATAGTCTCCCCCCCACATTCCTAATTCCCGCTCCCAAGGATGGACATGTCTACGCTTGGGGCGTCAACAGCCACGGCCAGTGTGGCACGGGCTCCTCTGCGGCCTGGCATCGGAAGCCGACGCGGGTGCAGCTGCCCAAGGCTGAGCCTCCTGCTGCTGCTACTACTCCTGCTACGATTGCTGCGGCTACTGCCCTGCTACTGCTACTGCCACGCCCAGAGTCCCTGTCACCTCTCTCTTCCAGCACCTGCCTCTCCACCCCAAGAGACCTTGCAGGACCACGCCATGGTTAGTCACATGGCTGCCGGGGCACAGCACTCCCTGGCCATCATCGATGGGGTGGCGGCTTGGCCAATGACTTTGGGGGTTGGATTCCGTTGGAGTTCATGCTCCTAGCCAGCCAGAAGCCGAAAACCACAGGTGTTCACATGGGGCAACGGCCGCAATGGCCGCTTGGGCACATCTCAAAGCGACGATTGTCGTGCCCCTATGGACATCGAGATCACGCGGCTTGTCAACCATATCTGTGTTTGCCTGCTGGAAGACTGCTGCGAAGCTCCTGCTGCTCTTTCTTCTGAAGCACAAACACGCGGTTCCGAGGCATGAGCACCGAATGGCCATCGTTGCCGGTGGTGAAGCCCACAGTGGCGCCATCGACAAGCGGGGCCGTGTCTACATGTGGGGTGCCGGCGACTCCGGCAGGCTTGGATTTCCAGAGCCTCGGCGAGCCAGGGGCTAAATCGGGATGGCAGTTTTTCTGAGATGAATCACGGGGAGTAGACTCCACAGCAGACCCGCAGAGACGTACTACTTTCGTCGTTGCCATTGAGGCCGCGATGGCGACAGCCATAACCATAACCATAACCATAAACATAAACAACAACCATAACCACAACCACAACCATAACCATAACCATAACCATAACACCACCACCGCCTCCTGTTTCCATGAGTACTGACGAGAGTGTGTTCAATACGGTATAACCTATCATTGATCTACTACACAATGCGATGCCACACAATACATCGCCATGATAGAACAGATTCCAAAGCAGTGCAGTACAGTAACGTACCTGTAGCGTAAGATCCCACAATATAGTATAACAGGATTGAAGAATATAACGCGATACATTGACATAGAACAGAAATAGAAGTTGCATGCACTACATCGCATGATGCAATATGATATGACATGGTTTGGCATGCTATGCTATGATGTGATATAGCATGATCTGACATGTCATAAGTTATGCTATGATATATCATACTATACTGCAGCTGGCTACAACATGAGTAATTCTAGTACAGGGTATTTGCACGCAGTAAAGACCAAGCTAGGAGAAGATAGCATAGCTAGATAGTACAACACAGCATAGCAAGTTATGCTATATGCATATAGAACACAGGTTAGCCTTCATTGAGACGGCCACGTTCCGCACAAATGCACGGCTAGCTTTCCCAGGAAGAGCACTTATAGGACGTTCTTCAAGCTTCACCCTTGAAGGTCTGCCCTACACCCAAACCCGAGACAAGGAGAGTCTGGATGTTTTCGAACCCAAGCTCGTCTGGTCCTTCGATACCACCGGCGCCGGAAGCTCGGAGGGACTCCTTGGGCAAAGGGGGGCCACGGGTGGGCTGAGAAACCTGACAGCAGATGCAGTGGATGGCTTCGGAAAGTACACCGCAGGCGTCATTTGACAGAGAAGAGGCTGAGTTGCACTGCTGTGTTCAAAGCCTTCGAAGCCAGACACCCTGGCAATTGAGGTGACCATCAAGGCATTGGCTTTGGGAGGCTTCCATTCCCTTTTCCTGGAGGCTCAAGCCCGCTGGGTTTGGGATTTGCTTCGGCTTTAGGAAGCAAAGGGTTCTGCCCCTCTCTCGCACCTTGTACTGGCCCGGATTCAAGGGGGACCCGAAACACAGCAGCCGCACGCGGGATTTGCAAGAATGCAAAACAACGGCGGAATTTGCAAGAATGCAAAACGCCGACTAGTGGGTTCATTACTGTCATCCTTTCTTTGGCTTGCGCTACCCCAGCATGCAGTTCCAAAAAAAAGCCCTTGCCAACACTAATCCGGACGTCGCCGCTCCAGGCCAGCCCGCGGGTCGGCCCCTCGTCCTGAAGGGGAAGGGGGTTTGGAGCGCGGGTTGCTTTCGGAGAAGTGTTGGGAAAAGTCGAACCTCGAAGAGGGGCCGTCCAGGCGCGGTTGTGTGGCATCGACATTGAAATCCAGCTTGTCGCAGGACAGTGTGCTTTTGTCGTCCTAAAGACATCATAGAAGTGCGGAATCCTAACGAATCCGTAAGCCCTCGCTGCTGAACCCCTGTTGCGAGCTCTCGAGGAAATTTGTACAGCTGCGGCAGCGGTGCGGCAGTCGGCCAGTTGGTGGAGGGCGTGGCTCGCCGGCCATTCGGTGTCTTCAGGGCATTGTCATGATCGATTCAGTGTCCAGCGGAGTCGGCTCAGGCTTGGAGTAGAGCTGCTTTAGAGGGCTTCATCCCCAAAGTTGAGTTTAGAGGATCGAGCCTCCTTGTGCACCTGCAGTGCCTTGACATGCGGCATTCGGTACGGGTCTTCTGCCCTGGCCCAGAACCCAATGTTAGCAGGCCTTGGTATGTGCGCAACAAGATGCGACCGACCTCAAAAGTTCTAATGCCTCAGTTTCTATCAATCTGCACCTCGACCTCAGTTTCCATAAGTGGGAGGAGCGGCGCTGCGTTTCTGTGCCGGTCGCATTGCAGCTCCCAAGCAAGGTGCTGCAGAGCCGCGGCAGGAAGGGTTTCGGAGTCGTGGAGGGTCATTTTGCTAACACGTTGAGAGAGCAGAGGGTGCTGCGCGGCTTCTCCGGTTATTTGGATGCGGACATTGTTGACGTAAGGTCACACCCCGGGCCTCCCTGCGCCCCAAAATCCGTCCCTTCAGACCGTTGCCAGCTGAGGATAGCTGCGGGCATGTTTCACAGCATGGCGTTGCTGGAGCCTGGGCTACTTTACGGTCTGCAGCCATAGGTTGTATCCGGATATTCGCAAGACTCGCATTAAACGGCTTGCATTGCCGTCTTGGAACTCTGCAAGAGGATCTCCAAAGATGTAGCCTTGCCGGGGCTAGGGTGCCAGTTATGCAGCGCAGGGTCAAGAGTTCATGTTTCTGGCATCTGTCACACCGTGGTGTGGGCCTTTGCACTGGCCTTTGCATTGTCCAGTCTCTAACGGCGCCCCAGCCCGCTACACGACCGAAGGCCCATCCTTTTCAGGATGCCCATGGACCCCCCCCAGCCAGTCAGCCAAGGAGAAAGGGCTGGTTTACTCTTGGGGTGTCGGGGCCCACGGTCGCCTGGGCCACGGCAGCGAGACGACGCTGTGGGCGCCTAAGCCGGGGCCTCGGAGGGCGGGTTTAGGGTTTACGTAGTTTACCCCTGTTGGCTCGTTGGTTGAGTTCAGATTTTCGGACAACGCCCGACAGTGGAAGCCCCCAGCCTTCAGCCGCATGTCCGGCTTCAACGCGGCTTAGACCTAAGTGGCCAAAGGAAAGCACACGAAAGCCTTCAACACTTCCAAGTGCACATGTTTTCCGGCGGCATCGGAACCGGACACTGCCACCGACGCTGCCAGGGCGCTGCCTATGCCAACCGAGACAGAAGTGCAGAAGGCTTTGCACTTCTTGCAGGGTGAGGGTTAGATCAGATGCAGGCGTGCTTCCTTGTAGGACCAGATCGTCTTCATCCCTCACGACGTTCACGAAGACACGGACTCTCGCAAGGATGCTCGCATTGATGACGTGTCTCGGCCTGCCGCAGAAACCGCGTTTAGAGAGGCGCCGTGCTGGATAGAGGCATGCTTGCATGGACATCACCATCGCAGCATAAATCGTGAGATTTGAAGTCTTGCTGTCACCATTGCACACCAGACTCTTTCTCTGGACTGGAACTGCTGAGTCTGCTGAGTGCTCACCCGCAGAGTTGAACCACTGACACCGGTGCCGAACAGCTTGCGGCAAGACTTCTCGCAACTGCAGCCGATGAATTCTGCAGGTTGTGCGAGAAGGAGCACTGAGCAGCAGAAAAAAAGCAAAGACCCAAAATGGTGTGACCTGGGCCTCTGGGCCTCACCAACATGCATTCGGCTGGACAATCTGCTCGTTTGAAGAAGCTGAAGTTTCCGCAATTGGAACCGAAACACAAACCGTCGAACGGCGCGTACGAGCCACTACGACTTCTCAAGCCTTTCAAGCCGAGTTTGCAGCTGAATCGGCCAGCTCCCCGAAAAAGGCGAAGCTAGCCTACGTGGTGGCTGAGCTCAGCTGCGGCTCAACACACGCCTTCGCTCGCACCCACGGCGGCTTCCTTTATGGTGCCCCGGCTCAAGGATACAGGGAGCTCCCAAAAAAAGGTCGCCCCAAACCCCCGAGTTTGGGGGTTCCTGGAATGACGAAGCCGGCGCCGACCCCGAGGTTGGGGCTGCGACTCGACGGGACAGCTCGGCTTCGCAGGAGGGCTTTCACGCGAGAGGTTTATTCACTTTCAGGCCTTCAGGGCATCTGGGGTTAAATCGCGGCGATGTGCAGGAGAGGAGGGTCAGATCTACTACTGGGTGCCGAAGCAGCTGGACATCGGACGAGTCATCAAGCAGGCAGGTCGCTAGGGCTTAACTGACCGGTGTTGTTCTCGGATTCTTGCCTGCCCGTCTTTGATGGAGTCGAATTGTCATACAATGTCATACAGGTGTCTTGCATCACCCCGCTGCGTTTGTCTGTTGGATGCTCCAGTATCCTCCGGGAGGTATGCTGCGGACACGAGTCCAGCCCTCAGCTCCTTCGCCTCACCGGAGAGAGCAAACAGCCGCAGCATGAGATGAGGTTCACCCTCGCAGTGACCATGTCAGAGGAGCTGTCATCGTGACTGGTTGTTTCACCTCCAGACGCACAACAACATGACACGTGTATGTTCTGCGCCACACCTTAGGTGTTTGCCAAAACATGTGGGGCCCGCCTAGCAGTCTCTGAGAGGTTTTCACAGAAGCGGGACGTGTTCCTCGTGACATGAAGTAGACTTCGAAAGGGCTGAATGGGCCGACTTGCTGCAAGATCCTTAGCCCGCGTAGGAGTCTACATATGTGCCTTCGAGACTGTGGGAGCTGCTAGATCGACTCTACACACAACCCCTACCCTTTAATACAAGGTCGTGTGGCAGTGTAACAGTGGTTGGACTCGAGGCCCAGCCTTGACGCAAAGCTCGAGCCCTCCAGGCACGCCCTTACAGCGCTACGACCTTTCAAAGCGTACTGCGAAGCACCTAAGCTGCTCAAGCTCACGAGGGAGCCTCCCAAACCCCAGGCCAAGCCCGAAGTTGGAGGCCCCCCATAAACCTTATGAGGCACGTGCACAATCTTCAACAATCTGCTACAACTTACCACCCTTCAGAGAGCCGTAAACACCGTCTGACCCCCTAATCCTTCGTCACCGAAGAGGAGCTCTGGTCCTGGGGCCGCGGCTTCGAGGGGCAGCTGGGCCTTGGCCACTGCCGCAGCTTGGCTTCAGGGTTGCTATGAGGGCTACGGCGACAAAAAGGGTTACCATGAGGATTACTTATTGCAATTATTACCAGGGTTACGATAAAGATAGGTATAAGGGTTCCTACAAGGTGGGACCAGGATTTTGTTTTTGGTTTTTTCAGGGCTTAGGCTTTTAAGTTTTTTGGGTCTGAGGCCTCCTTTTTTTTGCTTTAGGTTATCTTAGGGGCCCGCACTTTTTTTTCCTAACGTTG